ACTTACACGGGGAAAATATAGACAGATAATAAGTGTAATAAATTTTGTGAATTTCCACTTGAAAACAAACAGAAATAAAACCTATGTGAAGAAGTGGTGGAGTGAGCCGAGCTGGGGCAGGGGCAGTGAGGGCTAGTTTTCACATTGACCAAGAGTGTAGCAGCGTTCCCTTTCCTTTGCTGCCTCGCCAGCATGTTGTTTTCACTTTGGAAAATTACCCATTGTGACCAACGTGAGATGATATCTCATTGTGTTTGGGAGCTGCATTGCGCTGAGGTTGTGCATTTTTTCATGTTGGTTGATCACTTGAACGTCCTCTTTTTTTTTTTTTTTTTTTTTTTTTAAGGCAGTATCTCACTTTGTTGCCCAGACTGGAGTGCAGTGGTGCAATCTTGGCTCACTGCAGCCTCCGCCTACTGGGTTCAAGCGATACTCCTGCCTCAGCCTCCCAAGTACCTGGGATTACAGGCAAGCACCACCATGCCCAGCTAATTTTTGTATTTTTAGTGGTGACGGGGTTTCAGCATGTTGGCCAGGCTGATCTTGAACTCCTGGACCCAAGCTATGCACCTGCCCCAGCCTCTGAAAGTGCTGGGATTGCAGGCATGAGCCACCATGCTCAGCCTGTTCCCTTACATTTCTTTACAAAAATTTACCCTGTGGTAAAGGTGTTCTACCAGAAGGTAGAATGAGACACTTTGGTCCGTGTGTACATTGTGTAATGATGAAATCAGGGTATTTAGCATCTGTCTTTCCTCACAGAGTTGTTATTCCTTTGAGGTGAAGACATTCCGAATCCTTTTTTCTAGCTTTCTTGAAAAGTACATTCTGATAACGTTAGACCTAGTCATCCTGCTGCTGTGGAAAAGAGCTACAGGCTTCATTCCTCTCATGGAATACGTAACTTTATACCTGTTTCCAATCCCTGACCATGCCCCACCTTTGAACCCCAACCCATTTAGAACAGTTATGCTTACTAGTTCTATGAAATAAAGTTTTGTGGATTCCTCCTGAGTAAGACAATGTGATGTTTGTCTTTCTCAGCTTAGTTTATTTCTTTTTTCCTTTTTTTTTTTTTTTTTTGAGATAGTGTCTGGCTCTGGTTGCTCAGGCTGGAGTGCAGGGGTGCAATCTCAGCTCACTCCCACCTCAGCTTCCCGAGTAGCTGGGACTTTGGAGGAATGTCTCTTCAAGTTCATTGCCCAACTCTGGCTGGGATACTTGATTTTGCATGTTTTGCTTCTTAGTAGCATTAGTTTCTCGTGCATACCATGTAACAACCTCTTTCAGATAAATGATTCCTCATCATGCCCTCCCTATATGAAGAATGCTTTCTCATTGTTGATTGGTTCATTGCTCCCTTTACCATGCCGTAGTTCTTGAGTTTTCTTTTACATGTGTTTAGTTTTCCTTTTGTTAGCAGTGATTTTGGGTCAGGCCAGAAAGAAAAATCACAATTTGGATGCATTTCATTGATTTTGAGTGTATTTTCCATATATTTCCTGTTTTTTCTTTTTGCAGCCTATCAGCATAGATGAAGTTGCCCTGTGTTTTCCTGTAGAAGTTTTATGCTTTTGGGTCTTGTGTTTAGGTTTTCATTTATTTTGAATTGGTATTTGTGTATTGTGTAACATAAAGGTCCTATTTCGTTCTTTTTCATGTCAATACCCAGTATTTTCAGATTCATTAATTGAACAGACATCCTACTCCTCATTGCATCTTCCAGGCATTCTCTTGAAAACAGTGTGTTGACTCCATACAGATGTACGTTTAGGTTGTGTTACGTCTGTATGGTTTCATTGTTAGGCCACTGCCATAGTCTTTGGATGAGTAGATCTTTTCCATGTAATTTGAAATTAAACAGTGTGAGGCGTCCAAATGAGTTTATATTTCCTAGGATTGCTTTGCATGTTCAGAGTCTATGGTAGTTCCATGTGAATTTTTAGCTGTGTATAGTTACATTTCATGACAAGTTTGGTTCATACTGCATGTCCAGAATGAGGGGTGCAATGGGGACATTGCAGTACTTGTGTCCCTTGCATAAGGGTTAAGGATAAGCTCAAGGAGGTTTCCATGTTTTGTGTGTGGGTTTCCAGTTTTCTCAAGGTCATTTACAGAATAGTCGTTTCCCATTTTGTTTGGGGTTTGTTTGTTTGTTTGTTTTGATAGAGTGTTGCTTTTTTGCCCAGGCTAGAGTGAAGTGATGTGATCTTGGCTCACTGCAACCTCTGCCTCCCAGATCCAAGTGATTCTCCTGCCTTAGCCCCCAAGTAGCTGGAATTACAGTCACATACCACCATGCCGGCTAATTTTTCTATTTTTATTATAAGAGATGGTGTTTCACCGTGTTAGCCAGGCTGATCCCAAACCCCTGACATCAAGTGGTCCACCTGCCATTGTGTCCCAAAATGTTGGAATTACAGGCGTGAGCCACTGCATCTGGTCTTTTGAGAAATCTGTTGACTGTGAGTGCATTCAGGTTTGTCTGTTTTCTACCTGATACTGTCCAATGATATATGTTTCTATTTTTATGCCAGTTCCTTGCTGCCTCAGTAAGTATAGCTTTTCGATGTAATTTGACATCGGGGAGTGTGAGGCATTCAAGTGATTTTTCTTTCTGGGAAGTGCTTTGGATTTTCAGGGTCTTCTATGGTTCTCTGAATTTTGCCATTGTCCATTTATAGTTTTAAAATTGGGTTTGTCATACATGTCCAAAATTAAGGGGTACAGTGGGATTTGTTTTACTTGCGTACTTCGAGGAATGATGAAGTCAGGGTGTTCTGCACATGTATTTCCATGTCTAGTTTTTATTTGTTTGCGGTGTGAACCTTCAGTGTTCCTCTCTTTTCTAGCTCTATTGAAAGAGATCCAGGTTTATCCGTGTTGCCACAAAGGACATTATGTCATCCGTCTTTGTTGTTGGGGCGTATTTTGTTGTGTCTGTATACTGAAGTTCCTTCATCCCTTCATCAGTTGATGGACAGGTAGGTTGATTGCATACCTTGGCTATTGTGTGTAGTGCTTCGGTCAACCTGGGAAGGCAGCTATGGCTTCCATGCAGTGATTTCACTGTCCCTAAGTATATACCCACTGCTGGAATTGCCAGATGAAATGGTAGTTTTCTTTTTGATTGTTTGGGAAGCTCCAAGAGGTTTTCATAGTGCCTGTAGTAACAGTGATTTCTCCCAACAGTGTGTGAGAGTATCTGTTTATACAACTTCCTCCGGGGAATTTGTTTGAAATAATTGGTTTCTTTGATTTGTTCAAATTAGGGTGAGTGTGTATCTGAGCGTGGTTTTCATTTACAGTTTAGAGATGACTAGTAATGTTGAGAACCTCCCTTTTTACATGTTAGTGAATTGTGTATTTTTTTTTAGTAATGTCTGTTCAGGATTGTGTCCCAGTTTTGGCTGGGTTACTTGGTTTTGTGTGTTTTGCTCCTCAGTGGTGTGGTAGTATCAGATACATGATTCCTTATAATGTCCTTTGTATCTGAAGAATGCCTTCTGAGTGTTGGTTGGTGCATTGTTTCCTTTAATGTGCAGAACTTCTTCAGGTATTTTTGTTTTTGTTTTTGTTTCTTGATTATTTTAGTTGTGATTTTTAAATTTTTACTTATTTATTTATTTTTTGAAATGGAGTCTCGCTGTGTTGCCCAGGCTGGAGTGGGGTGTCATGATCTTGGCTCACTGCAATGTCCGCTACGCAGGTTTGAGCGATTCTCTTGTCTGAGCCTCCCGAGTAGCTGGGACTACAGGTGTATGCAACCACTCCTGGCTAATTTTTGTATTTTTAGTAGAGACAGGGTTTCACCATGTTGGCCAGGCTGGTCTTGAACGCCTGACCTCAGGTGATCCACCTGCCTCGCCCTTCCAATGTCCTGGGTTTACAGGTGTGAGCCAGCACGACTGGCTAGCAGTGATTGTTTTTGTAAGGTAAAGTCAATAACAAAAACTAGGGTTTTTGACTTCTGTTGTTGGAAGTGGTTTTTTTCTGTTTTTCTCTTTTTTCTATTGGTGGCTTTTACATTCTGTGAGCTTAGATTAAGGTTTTCCTAAACTTAAGATCACTCTGTGTTTTCCTTTAGCAGTTTTATGCTTTTAGGTCTTGTGTTTAGGGTTTATTGTATTTTGAGTTTGTGTTTGTGTATTGTATAACATCAACGTCTTATTTCATTCTTTTGTATGTGGCTATCCAGTCGTTTCAGACTGCTCAATTGAACCAGACTGCTGACTCCTCATCTCATCCTTTTTCCCCTTCTCTGAAAGCGCTAGGAGTACAGGTGCCACAGCACATGGCCTCATTGCATCTTCTAGGCCTTCTTTGAAAAAAATGTGTTGACTACATACAGGTGTGTGTTTAGTTTCTCTTCTGTCCCTAGGTTCATGGATTCATTTTTATGCCACTACTGTAATTTTTGGATGAGTGGAGGTGTTACATGTAATTTGAAATTGGGGAGTGTGCGGCCTCCAATTGAGTTTGTATTCCCTAGAATTGCTTTGCATATTCAGGTTCTTTGGGTCTTTGGTGGTTCCATGTGAATTTTTAGCCATGTATTGTTAACATTTCATAAAAGGTTTGTTTTATACTTCATGTCCAGAATTAGGGGTGCATTGGGACATTGTGATACTTGTTTGTATACCTTGAGTATGGATAAAATCAGGGAGTTTCCCATGCTTGTGACCACGTGTAAGTTTGATATCTTCAATGTGTGAACATTCAATATCCTCCTTGATAGCTACTTGGAAATCAGCATGACCATATTGTTAAGTATCATCGCCCTGCTTTGGAGTGGAATACCAGAATGTATTCCTCTCCTGTAACTCTCTGTGTACCTATTGCCAATCCTTGATGTCCTCTCCTCCACCTAGTCTGTGGTGACCACTACTGTATTTTCACCTTTGGGGAGTTAAATTTTTCAACCCCCACATGAGTGAGAACATACAGGCTTGGTCTTTGTCTGCCTTTCTGATTTGATTGAACATAATATCTGCAGGTGCAGCATGTTGCTGGAAATGATAGGATTCCATGAATTTTGATGGCGCAAAAGTATTCCATTGTGTCTGTGTACAAGAGATTCTTTATCCCTTCATCTGTGGATAGACAGGTAGGCTGATTTCTTTTCTTGGCTTTTGGGCATAGGGCTGAATGCCACCTGGGATGACAGATAATCTCTTCCATGTCCTGATCATGTGCTGTGTGTGTATACATAGGAATAGAATTGCTGGAGAAAATGGTAGTTGTAGTTTTAGGATTTCAAGGAACATCCAAGTGGTTTCTTTTTTTTTGTTTGTTTGTTTGTTTTTGAGAGGGAGTCTCGCTCTGTCGCCCAGGCTGGAGTGCAGTGGCCGGATCTCAGCTCACTGCAAGCTCTACCTCCCGGATTCCTGCCATTCTCCTGCCTCAGCCTCCCGAGTAGCTGGGACTACAGGCGCCCGCCACCTCGCCCGGCTAGTTTTTTGTATTTTTTAGTAGAGACGGGGTTTCACCCGTGTTAGCCAGGATGGTCTCAATCTCCTGACCTCGTGATCCGCCCGTCTCAGCCTCCCAAAGTGCTGGGATTACAGGCTTGAGCCACCGCGCCCGGCCCCAAGTGGTTTCTTTAGTGTACATACTAGTTTACCATTTCCCACCAGATGTGGAGACAAGTGCCTCCTCCGGAAATCCACACCTTGATTCGATTGTGTTTTAATATGTTTCAACTTTTTTTGTAGCATCCATTGCATGTAGGGTGAGATGGAATCTTGAGTGTGTTTTTTATTTTTGTGTGTGTATGGTAAGTGGTACTTGCTATGTTATTGTGAATTTGTTGTTAATTTGTTGTGTAGGACTGGGCAGAGGACCTGAAGACATGAGGATGATGCACAGGTCAAAGAGAAGATTCTCACCATTGATGATGCACACGAAAGTGTAAGTGAAAATCACACTCAGATTTCATCTCACTCCAGTTAGAATGAATACTACCAATGTTTGATAGCAGTTTTGTTTCTATAGTGTGTGTGTGTGTGTGTGTGTATGTACACAACCCAAGGGTGCAAGGGACGTTTTCACATATGTATGTGTAGCATCATGATCAAATTATCGTATCTGCCATCTCTGTGACCTTCCATCATTATTATTTCTCCGTGGAGAGAATATTCAGAACCATATTTTTCAGCTGATTTTGAAAAAATTTTCTAGATTCTGTTGACCCTAGTCACCTAGTCACCCTGCTGTGCAATAGAACACCAGAACAGATTCATTGTGTCTCAGTGTCACTCTGTACCTGTTACCAATATCTAAGTGTGGTTTTGATTTACATTTTGCTGTGGTTAGAGATGTTTGGCAAGTTATCATGAACTTGTTTCAATTTGATGTGTAAGACTGGGCAAAGAACCTGAAGGCCTGAGAAGGATGCACAGGTAAAAGATTCTGAATCAACATTACTGATCCTCACGAGAAGTCAATCAAAACCACACTCAGATATCATCTCACTCCGGTGAGAATGAACGTTACCAAAATGGGACGGCAATTTCATTGTCGTAGAGTACGTGTGTATAACCAGCGGGTGCAAGGGACAATTTGATCTGTGTAAAGGTAGCATCATAATGAAATTGCAGTATCTGGCACCTCTGTGAGCTCCAGAGTTATGATTTCTCTGTGGAGAGAATATTCACAACTGACCTTTGCAGCTGTTTTGAAAATTTTGATTTTCTGTTCTTGCCTTTTGTTCATAATGGCCTACGGCTCTGTGCAGGTTTCTGGTAAGAGCATGGATCTTTTTTTATGACTGTGTAGTGTTCCGTGGTGTGTATGTACCACATTTCCTTTCTCTGATCCACTGCTGATGGGCACCAAGGCTGATTCCATGTCTTTACCGTTGTGAGTAGTACTGCCGTGAACATACGAGTGCATGTGTGTTTTTCATGGAAGAATTTTCCTTCGGGTAGATCCTTAGGAGTGGGGTTGCAGCGTTGGGTGGTAATTCTCTTTTAAGTTCTTTGAGAAATGTCCACACTGCTCCCCATGGGATCTGAACTAGTTTGCATTTCCCCCAACAGTGGACCTGCATTTCTTTGCTCATCTCCCCACCAGTCTGTGTTGTTGTGGACTGTGTGTGATAATTGCCATTCTGACCAGTGTGAGACGGTATCTCAGTATGTTTCTGATTTGCATTTCTCTGATGATCAGTGAGATCGAACATGTTTTCATGCTCGTTAGTTACTGGTATACCTCCTTTTAAGTGTTCATGTTCCTTGCCCTTTTATAAGTTGTTTTTTTTTTCTTTCTGATTTTATTTGTTTAAGGTCTTTACGGTAAATCGTAGATATTAGCTGTTTTTCAGATGCGTAGTTGGGGAATGTTTTCCCTCATTCTATAGGCTGTGTGCTGTCTCTGTGGTTGTTTCTTGTTCTGTGCAGCAGCTCTTTTGTGTTTTAGGTCCTACTTACCAGTAATTGTTTTTGTTGCCGTTGCTTTTGGGGACTTGACATATAAATGCTTTGCCAAAGCCTCTGTCAAGAAGGGTATTTGCTAGATTCTCATGCAGGACTTTTTTTTATAGTTTCAGGTATTGGATTTTTATGTATTTACGTATTTATTTACAGACCGAGTCTCACTCTCTCTTACAGGCTGGAATGCAATGGAGCGATCTCGGCTCACTGCACCTTCCAGCTTCTGGGTTCAAGTGATTCTTCTGCCTCATTCTCCTGAGTAGCTGGGAGTACAGGCACGTGCCACCAAGCCCAGCCAGCTTTTGTTTTTTTCGTAGACATCAGCTTCACCGTGTCGGCCAGGGTGATCTCAAACTCCAGGACCTCAAGTCATCTGCCTGCTTCGACCTCCCAGAGTGCTTGGATTCCAGGAATGAGCCACTGTGTCCAGGCCAGCATTTCACATTTCAATCTTTGATTCATTCTGAGTTGCTTTCTGTACATGGTGAGACATAGGGGCCCAGTGTTATTTCTTCTACATCTAGCTAGGCCACTTATCTCAGCACTACTTGCTGATAGGGAGTCCTTTCTCCATTGCTTATTTTTGTTGATTTTTTTTCAAATATCGATGGTTTCAGGTGTGCAGGTTTATATCTGGGTCTTCTAATGTGTTCCACTGTTCTGGGGAACCGGGTCTCCAGCTTTTCAGTGAAAATGCCAAGCCATTACCTTGTCTATGGGTGTTTTCTTGGAGTGTTTCCTTTGTTTTAATGTTTTTCAAATACCTTTAGCAGCCTACATGTATGGATTTCTTTTCTAAAATAATGCACACCCTATGTTTTCTTGTAGGAGTTTTGTGGTTTCAGAATTGAGTTTTAGGTCTTTAATGTATTTTGCATTGATTTTTGTGTTGCGTGACATAAGGGTCCTATTTCAGTGTTTTGTATGTGAATATTCAGTTTGCTCAAAATCATCTATTGAACAGGCTCTTTTTTTTCCGACTGCATCTTTTTGGTGTTCTTTTGAAAAACGTGTTCACTATATGTAAATTGGGGTTGAATATTTGGTTTCCTCATTCTGTCCACTTTCTTAGTTTATGCCAATAAAACATTGTTTGGATAATTTTAAAAGTTTGTGTTTTTCATTCATGCTTTTAGCTTCTAAGTTTGCATTTTTTAACATAATTTCTATGTTTATTATAGACTAAAGGGTACAAATGCAGATTAGTTACTGCCTTTGATATATTCCATGACACTGAGAGTTGGGGTCCAAGCAACCTTATCATGCAGGCAGTGAGTGTACCCACCAGGTAGGTCTTCAGCACAAACCTCATGCCTTCATCCTTTTTCATCGGATAGTCACCAGTGTCTGTTGTTTTCAGTTTTACGGTAGGGTGTATTCAATGTTAGCTCCACCTTATAAGTGAGAACATGTGGTATTTGGTGTTCTGTTTTTTCCTTATTTCTCTTTAGATAATGGCCTCCAGCTCCTTTCATGTTGCTGCCAAGGACATGATTTCCTTCTCTTTTTTTTTTTTCCAATGGCTGCCTAGTTTTTTGTGGTATGTATGTAACACATTTTCCTTTTCTGATCCACTGTTGATGGGTGCCTAGGCTGATTTCATGTGTTTGCCATTGTAAATACTGCTGCCATGACCATTTGTGTGCGTGTGTGTTTTGGAGAGAAGGATTTATTTTCCTCTGTGTATACCCCAGTGGTGAGATTGCTGGGTCAGATGGTAGTTCTGGTTCAAGTTCTTTAAGCAATCTCCAAAGTGCTTTCCATGGTGTCTGAACTACTTTGCATTTTCACCAAAAGTGGACCAGTGTCCTGTTTCTCTGCTGCCTCACCAGTGTCCTTTTTTTTTTTTTAACTGCGTTATCCCCATTCTGACCAGCGTGAGATTTATCTCATTGTGCTTTTGAGTTATATTTCTCTGATAATTAGGTTGAGCATATTTTCAATTTGTTGGTTGCTCACCATCATCTTTTGAGAAGTCTGTGTTTATATCCATTGCCTATTAATTATTAGGGTGGTTTTGCTAATTGATTTGTGTAAGGTCTTTAAGGTAGATTCTGGATATTAGAACTTGGTCTGGTGCATAGTTTGGGAACATTTTCTCTCATCTTGTATGTCGTCTGTCTACTCTGTGGGTAATTTCTTGTGTTGTGTGGTGGCTCTTTAGTGTATTAGGTCCCACATATCAATTACTGCTGTTGTTGCAGTGTCATGTGGGGTCTTAGGCATAAAAATGCTTTGTCAAAGCTGATGTCAAGAAGGGTATTTCCTAGAGTCTCTTGTAGGATTTTTGTACTTTGAGGTCTTCCGTTTACATCTTTCATTCATCTGAGTGAACTTTGGTACATAGTGAGAAGTAGAGGCCTAGTGTTACTTACTCTTCTGCATATGGCTCGCCATTTATCCCAAGACTATTGAAAAGGGAGTTCTTTTCCCATTACTCATCATTGTGTATTTCAACCAGCATCAGGTGGTATGAGGTGTGTGGGTTTACAGGTTCTCTGTTCTGTTCCACTCATCCATGTGGAAGCAGGTCCCTAGAGTTTGAGTGCAATTTCACATCAGGGAGTGTGATGCATCCAATGTAGTTTGGATTTCTCAGAATTTCTTTGGAAATGCAGGGCATTTCCTGGTCTCACATGAACTTCAGCATTGTTTATTTCTATGTCCTTAAAACCAATTTGCTCTCTAGTAAAGTTATACAATTAAAGAGTAGAGTGGGACATTTTAATCCATGCATGTGTACCTTATGTAATGATGAAAGCAAGGCATTGACTGACTGTCTCTGTTACCTTGTGTAGTAATTATTTATTAGTTCTCTGTGGTTGCAATCTTCAGAATCCTTTTTTTCAGCCTTTTTTGGAAAATATGGTAGGATACAGTTAACTCTAGACATCCAGCTGTGGAGTAGAACAGCTGAATTTATTCCTGTCATCTGAGTGTAACATTGCATCCATTTCCCAGTTCCTGTGCTGCCTCCCCAACCCCCAGGCTCTCTTCACTACTGTGGAATGTTCTACTAGGAGATAAAGTCATTTAGAGACCAAGTTGACCTCATTCTCATAGGCATGGAATCATGCCGTGTTTGTTTCTCTCTTCCTGGCTCATTTCATGGAAGATCATGTCCTCCAGGTTTCTGTACGTTGCTGCAGATGACATGGTTTCATGAATTTCTATGGTCGAGGAGGATTCCATTGTGTACTGCAGTTTCTTTATCCCTTTATCTATGCACGAACAGGTAGGTTGATTGGATACCTTCGCTATTGTGCATAGTGCTTCAATTGCCATAAGAAGGCCGATATCTCTTCAACATAACAGATTTCATGTGCTTTCTGTGTATAACCAGTGGTGGTATTCCTAGGTGAACGAGTAGTTGTAAAATGTTTAAGGCACCTTCAACTGTTTTCCTTCGTGTGTACGGTAATGTACATTCTCACCAGTAGTGTATAAAATCTCTTTTTCTGCACTTCTACATTGGCC